CGTGCATGCCTAAACAAAATCGAGACTCGTCACTAAAGACAATACTGTTCCATTCCTGATCCCAGAGTGACCGTTTTCTGCACCACTCAAGGCGATTACGTCGGTGTTCTCGAGTTAAAGGGAGGACCCAGTGTGGCCGGTATGAAAACAAGCCAAGACTTCTCATTCGTCGGTACACACTTCGCATGCCAATAGGTCTTCCGTGTTCTGCAAACCATTTATTTGCAATGGACCTGGTAGTGGAGAAACGGTCCCTTAAGGCCAATAATCTTAGGCGGCGATCTTCACGGTCTGTTGTTGTACGGCGGCGTCCAGTGCCACTTGCTCTTTGCGTACGGCCTTCTCGAAGCCAAGCATGACAACACCTAACCACAGTGTCTACACTTCTTTGCACTCTAACTGCAATTGCCCGAAAAGAAAGTCCAGCTAAGGCTGAACATTTTTTCACTTGTTATTTACAGTAAAATAAATACATTCACCAACTTTTATTAAAATAAAACCATTTAAACTGGGTGTTCGGATTTATATGTCACTTAGTATACGTCTACGACAATTATTGAAAGTTAGTTATTAAAAACGTTAGGCCTGCGCTGCGCCTATCCGCCAGGAAAATTGTGCTCATCAAAAAATCACGCAATGGATACGAAAAGGCATTATTTACTAATCACTTGGGATAACAACAAAATAGATATTGCCTTCCAAATCCCCAGAAGATTATAAACGAGCTAAACAATATTAGATTGGGGAATACGCAACTGAATATTGCGGTATGAAATAATCATTTATGTTGTACATCACCGACGATTTTTCACGAAAGATATTTCAGAGAGGTTGAGCGAAAAAAGTTATTGAAAAGCTACCCTAAAAACGATCCTTCTCTCGTCAGGCCCTTCTGGTCTAGCTTTTAGCAATAGTTTCCGTTTTTAGCGATAACAATAATTCCTCGCCAGTGGCGTCGGAAGTAAAACAACTTGCAAATCTGAAATAAATTAAATTTTCTCATCCGTGTACATCGCTTGTGTTAGAGAAATTTGTTTGTGTACGATTTCATTCAAACAGATGTGAATCAGTAACCCAGAAAATCGAGGAGTCGTCCAAATAAACATTGTTGCGCATAGTTCAATTATCTTTCATCATTACTGAGCATAGATTTCAAAGGTTTCATGAACGGAGAAACATTCGCAAGCTGCAATTATCACATAGTTTGGATAATTATGCGTTGTCTGGAAAATTGTGATATTGCTCATGTGCGATGTATGTCATACCGATAGTTCTGAAACTCAGCTATGCGAATGTGTAATCGTATGCAAGGAGGTAGCTATGTTTGGAACGTATACGTGTCGTGCCATAAGTTCTGTCCCATGATAATCTCATGATAAAAATGAAACAAGATAAGATATATTTATATGAAAGATATTATTTATTCGACAACATTTTTAGAATTCATAATCAAACAGTTTTATTCAAAATGTCCCCCCTTGGCCTTCACACACTGCTTCAATCTCGCGGGCCACTCATCTATCACTGCACGCACAGCTTCCAAAGGAATAGCTGCCGCTGATCGGATCAAATCCGCTTTCAGGGACTCGATATTACGGTGGGCTTTGGAGCAGGCCAACTGCTCTAGCAGGTCCCACAACTTGTAGTCTAAAGGATTGAGGTCCGGACTCCCTGAGGGCCAATCTTCCGCAGCAATGAACTCTGGCACATTGCTTTCCAGCCAGCGCTGCGTACTCTTAGCCTTGTGAGCGGGGGCGGAATCCTGCTGGTAGACCCAGTGTTGGTTGGCAAACAATGTACCACTTAAAGGCTTGACGATAGGATCCAGTATGTCGCTCTGATAGTTTGCCGCTTTTGTTTTCACGCCCTGTTTACAGAAATGGAGCTGAGTGACCCCTTCGTAGGACACCCCCCACCAAACCATGACTGACGCAGGGTGGTGGCCTCTCTCAACTCTCGGAATGATCTCCGAAGCTTCCTGTGAACTCCTTGCATACACTTTGTCATTTTGTCGGTTGAATTTTTCTTCTATGGTGAAGATTTTCTCATCCGTGAACAAAATCTTTCGGAATCCCCCAGCTGCGTACCTCTCCAAGAGCTTCTTGGATCTTGTCGCCCTGATGTGTCGCAAGGTGGCCGTAAGTCGCTGGCCCGTACGTCTCCGGTAAGCCCCTAGCCCTAGGTCTTGTTTAATGATGCGCGACATCGTCCGGACAGGAATCTTCATTTCCCTGGATAGGATCTTCTGCTTCCGGAGTGGATTCCTTTGAATCCTGGCTTTTACGGCTTTGATGGCTGCTGGAGTCCTTACTTGACGAGGTCTTCCGCTTCTTGGCCTGTCATCAACAGAGGACGTCTCATTGTACCGCTGAATGGTCCTAGACACAAATTTACGCGATATTTGAAGGCCGCGTAAGAGTTCAAAAATCTGACTAGCACTGTGATTACACTTATGTAAAGCTATCACTGCAATACGGTTCTCTGCCTTGCCCCACTCCATCGTTATGCTTCGAGAGATCAATACAAACTGAGGTATATGTAACTACCCGAAAAGCGCTTAATCAACTGACACCACAATGTAAACAATCGGACAAGTATTAACAGGTCTACACTTGTTTGAAAACGAGGGACAGAACTTATGGCATGACTACTACATATACGAACAGTCAAAAAATAGTACAACTGATCTGTAACATGTCGGCCATCTTGACCTATAATAATACAGGGTGCAAACGTTATGGTAGTCATTATTGGAATGGGTAAGTCTTTCATCACGCTTATCGAACAGGCAATCGATCGCAAACGGTAACAGTGATTAGTTATCGTTTTGCATAGATAAATTGAGGAGTAGAATTGCAAATCGCATTTTGTCCATTTTTACCAATCTTCAGGAGGAGCAAAAAACTAATATAGAAAAATTAACCATAAGAGAAAAAAAACTTTTGGGTTATTTAGGTTTTTTGCAAAATCGTTTAGAAAATTTATTGGAGGACGTGCCACTGAGTATTTGCAGGGACATGTGGTTTCAGCATGATGGCTGCCTAGCGCACTATGCACTCTCAGTGATCAAAACTTTCCAGGCAGATGGATAAGGCGGTCTGGTACAATACCGTGGCCAGCCCGATCACCTGATTTGAATCCTTTAGATTTTTTTACTGGGGAACCGTAAAAGAAAAAGTGTATTTCAAGCCGATTCAAAATGTAGCTGAGCTACGGCAAAGACTATTGGAAGCAGCTGAGTTTGTTAATAACCGTGGATTCGCTCGTTTAATAACCCGATCTTTTTTAAGACGTCGAGCGTGTATTGCGGCTGAAGGAAAACAGTTTGAGCATTTGCTGTAAAGGTAAATCATCATCAGCAGCATTTTGACGCCCACTGTTGTGCAAACAGTTATCCTTAAGGGTCCTTGTGCGTTTTCATAATCGCTGCTTAATTAGGAAATTTTGAAAATTGTTCATCAGTTTTTTTTCAAATAAAAATTGTGCATAAGTTAACGAGTAATCTTCTAAGTGTTATACCATTTTGGAGACGTTACTAAATACGCCAACTTTTAAGGTTACTTGCCAAACTCTCTTAGTACATTTTTTTCCAGTACAGTCAGTTAAAGTTGAGCAAAGTTTTACTTTGGAATACTTGGTTGGGAAATAAGTGGCAATTTTTCCTGAACGAGAAAAGTTGCCAGTAAGGTTGAGACACCAGTTTGAAGATGCATTATTCATCATAACATTGTAAAAATGAAATCCAAAAAAAGTTATTATTTGTAGTAACAGGAGTTGACAGACTGCCGTAGGGTGTGAAATTTCTATATCTTTTTCAAAGACCTATAATTTTCAAAACATACATAAAAATTTTTTAAATATTTTTCTGATAGCTGTTATGACTTTGCTATCACCCGGTTTCGGCTTGATGTCGACTTCTGGGGCACCCTGTATAATGTATGTATACACGTAAAGAAGACAAACAATAAAATGACAAACAACAACAACAAACAATAACTTAAATTAGATATTCAAAAATGGTCGCCACATGCAAACAATAGCAGATAAATAGATTCGTGTTCCAGCCGTTCAAATTAATAAATTACAATATAAAAATGTATAGAAGGACAAGCAATAAGTGGGTAACAAACAATACGAAAAAAGAACGTCTAAATATCCACAAAGTCGCTAATGGCGTAGCAAGTCTTGCTAATAAAGTAGATTTTCGACTCGCTTTAAAATTATCTAATAAGCTAATTATCTTAATATACTCAGGCAGCTTATTGATGATATCTATTACCTAGCTTATATCGAACAAACGGTAGATGAATGTATATTGAATGTATGTATATTACTATTCAAAGTGAAATTTTCATCCAGAAACAGCGAGGGCACAAGTCTCTGCATCTGTATATACCGTCAACACCTGCTATGCGCCTTATTATTCTCTTTCGACTTCGAGATACCTTTGAAGCATTCACCGAGTGACCCCAGAAACACAATGCATACCGTATACGCGACTCGATATGACTGTGATATAACATCAATGACAGGTTGCGTGTAAAAACTGTTCTTAGATTTTTGAATAGGTAGGCCTGCGACCGGTAGTCACAATGTCCTTAAAAATTGAGACATCTAGGTGCAGCTTCAAGAATGTTGTGCTCTTACTGTGAGGCAGCGCACAATTATCCGATGCAACCTGCGGTGGAGGTATTGATATTTGGACATTGTGGAATCGTATTGCTGTTGTTTTTTCACAGTTTAGATGCAGCTGGTTATCCTCAAACAAGTCATTGATGTTATGTAACCGCATATGTGCCTTTGTAAGACACCATTGTTTCATCAATTGAGTATTGATTTTCAAACTGGAGTTTATAACAGTTCTTGCGTACAATTTCTAATAAGGGTCTAATTTTGAAATATCGATCCGTTGTCTGGTCTGTTATGTTAGTATTATCATTGAAATGGATAAACCATCTTAGTTTCTGAAACCTCTTCAGAGGCATTATTTTGGCCACGTGATCTACTCTTATACTAGCTGCCCAAAAATCTTCTATGGCAGGAAGTTTTATTACACCCATAATCAAGAGTATATATAGAAAATCCGTTATTTCTGACGGATTTGTATCAATACATTGCCCAAGTTGCTGAGTACTATAAAGACTTGTCTGACAGACTATTTAATCCATTAGATCAAATGAAAAAACTTTGTAAAATACTCAAAGGGAACTGCAATGTTGTCAGATTCAAGAAAGTCTGGTGAAGGTATGTTAGCAGAAACTATGGGGTTGTCCAAAACCGACGCAGGAAAGTGAACGCATATTAAAACAAGAAAGATTGATATTCAAATCAAGTTGGGTACTTTATTTTGAAGGTTCATTTATACCATTTATGTATGAAAAATAATATCGCTCAAATGTTCACCACGACTGGATTTACAGACGTCCACGCGATGGTCGAAATTTTCAATGACATTTTGCAACATGGTCGGTTCTATGGCATTTATCTCGGCAATGATGTTGTTTTTGAAATCTTGGAGGGTGGCTGGTTTGTTGACGTAGACTTTGCTTTTCAAATATCCCCATAAAAAGAAGTCCAAGGGAGTCAAATCGCACGATCTTGGTGGCCATGGCACATTTCCTCTGCGCGAAATCACGCGATCACCGAAGAAGGACTGCAATCGATGGATATTGACGTTGGTTGTGTGGCATGTTGCACCGTCTTGTTGGAAATAAACATCGTCCATATCCATTCCTTCAAGTTGCGGCAAAAAATAGTCCTCTATCATCACGTGATATCGCTCAGAATTGACGGTAACGGCGTCCCCGGCCGCATTTTCGAAAAAGTAAGGTCCGATGATGCCTTTTGACCACAATGCACACCACACAGTCACTTTTTGAGGATGCATCGGCTGCTCTTGATACTCACGGGGATTTTCGTTCGCCCAGATGCGGCAGTTTTGCTTGTTTACCGTCCCATGCAAAGTGAAATGCGCTTCGTCGCTGAACATGATTTTTGATGAAAAATTCGCATCAATTTGGCGGTGTTCAAGGAGCCAATCTGAGAACGTTCGGCGCGAAAAATGGTCGGCCCGACGCAGCTCTTGCATCAATTGGATCTTGTAGGCATGTAGATTCAAATACTTGTGGAGAATGCGGAGCAAACTGGTTCTCGAAATGCTCAATTCTTGGGATCGACGCGTTGTTGATTGTTTCGGATCGTCTCTCACACTCTCCTTCACAACAGCAATATTTTCCGGTGTGCGAACGCTCCTTGGCCGGCCAGATCCTGGCAGATTTGCCACAGAACATGTTGCCTCGAATTTACACACTAGCCGACCGATCGTTGTTCCGTTTGGGCGGTTGTTGCGACCAAAATGTTCACGAAGCGCGCGAAACGTGTATTTTTGCACCATTTTTGTAGTGCTCTTGAATAACTTTAATGCGGTATTCAGTCGAATACGACTCCATAGCGATCAATGGTAAACATGCAACTAACAAAATGACATGTCGGTGATAGAAAACAAAGATGGCGTCTATGTCAAATTGACGTTTACTTTCCTGCGTCCCTATTGGACAACCCATTATGTCAGCTTCAATCCAAGAATATGATTCAGTTTTTCGTCTTTGTGGTGGTGGCGGCTCAGTTTCATCGTAACTTTCTTCGAATTCAGAATTACTTTCTGGAACCAGCATGTCAAGTCCTGAAGGCACTTCTTCTTCATCGTTAAGCTCATTTGTTTGCGAAATATTTCCTCCGTTACTGAAATCGTCGTCTGAGACATCGGAAATATGCGGATCTTTTTGCCGAAAAAACATGTAGTGCTTATAAAGGGTGTCCCAAAATTAACGCAAGATTTGAATTAAATAGAAAATGCCATTTTTAGTCTTTTAATAGTTATATTTTTATTGACTCATAAAGTACATAGGATAGGGTTATGTATGGAATAACACATCGGACAAATGGCCTCCACGGCTTTGCATGCACATGCGCACTCTTTTGTCGAAATTTTCCATGACCCTTCTGCATAAATGTGGCTGAATTTCGTTGATGCAGCGTTGAATCTCCTCCTTTAATGCACGGGTGGTTGTGGGCTTGTTGACATAGACTTGTGATTTCAAATAACCCCATAAAAAGAAGTCTAATGGTGTTAAATCACACGATCTAGGAGGCCAATTTTGATCACCGAAACGAGAGAGTACACGACCGGGAAATGTCTCATGCAGTAATTGAATTGTTTCACGGGCTGTATGACATGTGGCACCGTCTTGTTGAAACCACATATTGGGTACATCAATATCATTCAATTTTGGCAGAAAGAACTGTGTAATCATGTCGCGATATCGAGCACCAGTAACAGTCACTGCTTGACCAGCATCATTTTCAAAAAAATATGGCCCAATTATGCCTCCAGCCCAAAATCCACACCAGACAGTCACGCGTTGTGGGTGCATTTCTTTTTCGACAATCACACGTGGGTTCTCCGAACCCCAAATGCGGCAATTTTGGCGATTGACAAAGCCATCAAGATGAAAATGTGCTTCATCGCTTAGGATGATTTTGCTTGAAAAATCAGGGTCCATTTGTTGATGTCCAATAATCCATTCAACAAACTCTCTTCTCTCTGCATGGTCATTAAGCTTCAATTGTTGTGTTAATTGAAGTTTGTAAGCATGAAGACACAGATCTTTGGTGAGTATACGCTGTAGAGAGGTTCTTGACATTTGCAATTCTTGTCCACGACGTCGAATTGAGGTTCCTGGATTGTCCGCAACACTCTCACGCACTGCTTCGATATTCACATTTGAACGGCTTGTTTTTGGACGACCAGTGTGTTTGGCGTCTCCAACGGATCCAGTCTCCATGAATTTTTCAATTAATCTCTTCACAGTTGACGAAGTTAAAACACTATTCCGGCCATATTTTGTATGAAATTTTCGAACTGCAGCCGCCAAGCTTTCACTATTTTTGAAATATTCTTTAATAATGAAGACACGTTGTTCTATCGTGTAACGCTCCATTTTTCATAACCCTATACTGTTAGCTGTCAAATTGCTTTTTTTCAGGGTTGCCAACACTTCACTGCACAAATGGCGGCAAATTCAAATCTTGCGTTAATTTTGGGACACCCTTTAGTTGGAAAATTATCCGGATCGGAAGACTGAAAAAGAAAACGTAATTATTCTGGCAATGTTGCTTGAGAGATACATACTAAACAAAGTCATTTTCCTGCCTTATTTTCTGATCTATCGCTTAAAAATAATCATAGACATAAAGACTCAACCTTCTTTTATACCAACCAAGGCTAATAGAACATAAAAACAAATGATTACTTAGCATTTGCAACTAAAATCCCAACTACAGATTCATACGTGCACCAAACACCTGTTACGCGGCAACCATATTCAATTTTTTATAAACAGAGGTCGCTCATAATATTATTTCCGTTAATGAATAATGTACCTTACGCGCAACACTGCCCAATCGGACCGTTAGAGCAGGGAGGACGAGAAATTGAGGTTTAAAGATGATGTTGCCTACAGGCTACATCACCAGATATAGGGTTAAATCATACTAGGAGAAGGACTCCGATCAGTCAGAATGACAAATCTTTTCTATGATCGTCTGCATCTGCTATCCTTGTTCCGGTTGAAGAAAAGAATCATAAAAAAGGCGTTTTTTGACAAGAAAGAAACTGATTCTTCTGACTGCAGACACACTGTTTAAAAAAAAGGACATGCGACGTTTCTGTGACAAATCCAAGAAATGTGATTATAAAGTCCATTGCAGTATGAATTGTGTGTAACATTGGGATGATCACAAATAAACAGAGATCAACTAATTCTGGCAGCATGCGACGTAACATATTTCAACAAAAAGATTAGTGTGTCTGTTGATACGAGATTTTTCCGCGAAGCGCTCAAAATAAACGTATTTTTTGAATGTCGCAGTATCATCGAAGAGACCTCGCTAATAATAAACTTCGTATCATCATTATCGGTTTTGACAGTTGCGTCTATTCTTTTTATGTCTTTTGGCATGAGACATTAATTAGTACTGGTCGGAGATTCTTTGAAGCAGTTCAAAAAACTCACAAAAAAGTTTTTGGCAACGTTTTGAACCATGTCGCTGTCTCATACGAGGATTTTTAGGAGTTGCATTGTATTTAGGATTGAATAAAAGGCAGCGTCAATGCGTCCACGTACAGAGTGCGGTAGCATAACTTCAGTTTTTCAAAATTCATCATAATGGGTTTTATCATAACTTTAGCGCATGTTTTGTTTGCTGACGGATCCGTTTAAATGAAAAGACCGCCGCACCCTGTACTACAATACGTAGCAGGACATCTCAATGATAAACACCTGATATTCAATAGAATCATGGGTAGATTCTTGATGTCAATGTGCATCCAAAATGCGGAACAAAATAACTGGCAGCAACTTCCTCGCTGACAGAGGACTTGGAGGTAATACATTTCTGAGGCTTCTGCCCCAAGCTTCAGCTTGAGCTAGATGGTGCAGATACTACCTCATACTTTGAGCTTCAAGAATATGCTGCTGATATCCGCATGGGTGTCCGCAGGAACTTTTCACATAGGGGGCGGTCACTATCAAGATGCAACTTTTTGTGAGAGTATCAGCCACCAAAACTTTTTGAAGAGCGAGGGCAAGCATAGGGTATACAAGTCCTAATAATCTTCAATATTTTGCACAAAAGTATACTAAGATATGTGGATTTTAAGGGCAATTCCTATTCTCAGCACTCCCTCGGAGTTCTGAAGGGTCAGCAGTAATCTGTACAAATATACTACAACTATTTAAAACTGTAATGACTCATACGCGTGATCAACACGTGATCAGAGCTCGATCCCGGCTTCCTTCCAGTACAGCCGTATAGCGTACGACATATGTCATTTCTGTGGCTTTGCGGTGGTCAACAGCACAGACAGAGATGGAAATAATAGCTGATTGTTCTCCGCCGGTAGAACCAATAAAATCAAAGACGCGCTTCGACCGGCAGACTCATAGGCGTCGGCAACGCATTGGAACGTGTTTCGTTGAGCGATCGCATATTGTGTGTTTTTATAAGAATTGTTGTGTGGTTGTTATTGTTGTGGTTTCTGTGGTTACTGTTTTGGTTATACTTAACCATGGAGAGTACAAATGGCACGAGTGGAAGTACTGAAAGCCAGGGAACAAGTAGACGGCTTCGTAAAGCACTGAAGAGGGACGCGAAAGAAATCGTGCTCAACGTGTTCAATTATCTGAACAGAACTATGTCACAGGGAGATGCACTCGCGCGTTGTGAAAGTATAACAGGCGTTCCAGAGTGGACCATTCGCAGGGTGGTGCATGAAAAGAAGAAAACTGGAGCCACTACTGATCCAAAGTTTAATTTGAAGGGACGAAAGGCCGTTAAATTGGATGACGATAGCAAAATGGCGTTAAGGCGAACCGTACATTCATTCTGCTTTAGGAATGAGATACCAACCCTCAAGGCTGTACATACCGCGATCAAGGAAAATGAAATTATACCCCAAATGAGCGTCGAGGTAATGAGGAAATCCCAGCACGAAATTAATTTTCGTTACGAAACGCGTAATCGGAAGTCAGTATTGATAGAGAGACCTGAAATAGTCGCCTGGCGTCGTAAATACCTACGCGAAATGATTGAATATAGGCGACAAAGCAGAAAAATCTATTATTTGGACGAGACATGGGTAAATGCAGGTCACACAGTTAAAAAAACCTGGATAGACGAAAACGTAGTGAGTAACCGACAAGCAAGCATTGAAGGTTTGTCAACAGGTCTTCGTGGACCGTCAGGGAAAGGTCAAAGATTGATCGTAACTCATATTGGTAGCGATAGTGGCTTTTTAGAAGAGTGTGACTTGATTTTCGTCTCTAAGAAAGGAGGTGATTACCATGACGAAATGAATGCCAGCTGCTTCGAGAGCTGGTTTCAAGGGGTGCTTCAGCGAGTTGAGCCCAACTCTGTGATCGTCATGGATAATGCTTCATACCATAGTCGTCGAGCCGAACGTGTACCGACTATGGGATCTCGAAAAAGTGACATGCAGCAATGGTTGCGCGAAAAAGGAATCCCGTTTGACGATTCATGTGTGAAAGCGGAATTGTATGAAAAAATTAAACAGCACAAACCTGCGAACATTAGTTACGTGACGTCAATGTGGTGTCACTGTGCTGCGGTTACCGCCCTACCACTGTGAACTGAACCCAATAGAGCTCATCTGGGCTCAAGTGACGGGTTATATTGCGCGCCATAACACAACCTTCAAATTACCAGACGTTAAGGTTTTACTTGAGAATTCCATACAGCTAGTAACGTCCGAAGCTTGGCAGAATGCTATCCGTCATGTTGTGAAGGAAGAAACAAAAATGTGGCAGCTTGACCACCACATCGACACCATCATAGAGCCAGTTATAGTCAATTTCAACGAGGAAAGCAATAGCGACAGTTTATTACTGTCAGATGTAAGTGGAAGCGACGATGAATAATTGATTTACAATATGTTTCAAACCACTCTTTATTAAGCATGTGACAAATCTAGTTCACCCATGTTAAACATTCATACCCCGCCTATGAACAGCCGACTACTGGTAGTTAAGTGATATTCACGTGAACATCGATGAGTCGTTACAGTTTTAGATAGTTATAGTATAGATATATTAATTGAATTCCTAGAATGACTATTGATATTCAAAAGCTCTTTCAATTTCAAAGGCTCCCTCATAAATCCTCTTAATGCATCATGCTTCTCAAGAATACGTACTCCTGATTT